GCAACAACCGCCTGATTCTCTAAGTATTTCCAATATATGTAGTCGACCGAATTACTGAAAGAGGCAGAGTATGTTGTAAAGAATTATGCATATCGAGGATAAAATTAATGTTATCCATAATCCGAGATCAGCATGATTCTTCACATCATACGGAGGCCGAATTCAGCTATAATTCTTGATTATACATTCGTAGACATTCTTCAAAACCTTGACCTATTTCTCGGTTACGGTTTCAGTATAATAAGATATATTTTTTCTTTCAGATACTCCACAAAAAAGTAGGAAACATCTATTCAGCAATATGTTTTGCGTATTCTTGCATTTCTTGCGTTCAGGTTTATTCAGAAATTCAGCTATTTCGTCTTCGGATAGCCGTGAACGCCATTTTTTTTAGTTCACTATTTACCCAAGCAGCCTCGTTTTCAGGTAAATGTATCATCGAATAGATAGTATATTGCTCGCATATTCCAAATATGGTAAGCGCCAATCAGAAACGGCACAATATCTGTACTGAATAATAATGAACAATTATTGAAAGAAGCTGAGTATGATGAGAAGAATTATGGAACGAGGAGAATGTTATCCACTGAGGCCGTACGCCATCTTCGCTGTTTGCACGTGTTCCGTAAAACGTGAAGATTTTTCTCTTTCTGGAGCCGTCTTTGCTGGGACATTAATTGCTTTCACTCTTCCTATTTTACTTTTTCATTTTTTTTTTCTTTTAGAAAAACGACAAACCTTTGGATGATCACGATCGCCTTTGCGTTGTTGAGTCACGTGACTTGCAGCATTTTTGAGGACGTGGGTGTGACGTGTGAGCTGGAACAAGAATCAGTTCGAGTTTGCGATAATCAAGAGGTCAAGGTCAACAAATGCCGAGGAACATGCCAATCGTCGAGCAGGATTATAATGATCAAACCTTGGTATAGGACCACGTGTGATTGTTGCAAAAGCAAAAAATCTATCTACAAGGTAGTCTCCTGTAACGACGGCAGGGTTAAACAAATTTTTAGCGCTGTTTCTTGCCAATGTCAAATGTGTAACGGAGCTTAGGAAAAATATATATATATGGACTGTATGCTACCTACAGAGGACCGTTTTTAGAGGGGATAAACAATAAATACTATATTTCAATATTTTGAACTCGATTAAGCCGAAAATTATGTAACTTCTTACAGTAGCAAATTGGCAAATATATATTATATCTTAGCAGAGAGTTAGATTTTCAGTGCGTCTCAAAGACGTTAGGAGATTTTAATCTTTAAACTGAGTAAAATAAAGTGTAATCGTTCGATAATGATTCGCCAGTTGACATTTACTCTTGGCTTTCACATGAGGTCACAAATAAAGTAAAGAATTATCCATCCTCCTGAGTTTTTACGTTCATGAAGTGTTAGAGCAGCTAAAAACGTTTATTTTTACAAATTCTCACTTCGAAAGGTTTCTTCATTTTTGTATAGAGTACGCTTTAATTTATAACATTTTGCGTGACACGGCCTTACGTGGCGGCCAAGAGAGCTTTCATGTAGGTTAAAAAAGTGATTTAGTTTCAATTGGGGTATTTTGCTATTTGAACAGTCCTTGAATTAGGAAGAGTATTACTTGTTCATGAGTTCCTTGAGAGGTGAATTCACGCTTTCGTTGCAAAACTCGAATGCAGTTGTTGCTGTTAGTTCCGGCCACCATGTTGGTGTCCCTGTAAGGGGAACCAACATGGCTTCTCCATACAAAGTTCTATAAATTTAGGTACAACATTTCTCCTAATATCTCGCGTGTGAAAAATTGTACTAACCTGAAACATGGTTAGGGTCTTTGTATAACTACCTTCTTTCATTTCCTAGATTCTGGACTTTATCTATTGAACGATTTGATAGTAAAAACCGGAAATTCCTCTCGTTATCAATAATAGGTTGTCATTCCAATTATAATGAAACAATTTGATATTAATTAGTTGCATTCTTTTGTAATCCAAAGACTTTATTTCAGTATAAACTATCCTTATATACATTTTAATAATTTTAAAACTGCAGCTTTTTCAGTAACTTTTCGAGTCTCGCCCACAACTACGAGTCAAGATGGCGTCGAAAACCGTGACAAGGTCTATTGCTAAAAATACCGGTAGATACCCTATGATTCATACCGCATTTTTTATATTCCTGTAAAGTTTGCTTTCAATTTACCACATTATGCACCACTCAGGTAAAAAAGAGAGTAAACAAGAGATTTTTAAAAAAGGAAAATAATAAAATTAATAATAAAACTTGCTCCAAGGGGATTCGAGCCCGGAACCGCAGCATCAGCTAGAACTAGAAGTTAACGCCTCCATCCACTGGACCACCTCGTTAAACGCTAATCTTTCGAGTTTAAAAGAGGTATTTATTCCTTCTCTATGGTGACTGACAGTTTTCAAGGTTAACTTTTTCGGGATTTCCTTGTAGAATTAAATTTTAAACTGATCGAAGCTAGACGAAAAGCTCACAATGAGCCCATTAATACTCTTTCAGGCTTGGTCCATGCCGGGGAACGTTTAAGAAATTTACGAACTATCGATCGCGCGGCTACCGACTGAACCGTACGACCGTACGATTCTCTCCATGCTCGTCAGGTGTCTTTTCATCGGTCGGGGAAAATATTAACAGAACATTGTTCATAATTATTTCTATTGTTTTAGGTCAGGGTTGCAAACCATTTGGCTTTTAGGGTTAGAAGAGCTGCTACATGACTTCTCTCCCCGGAACGAAGAAAAACAATATGGCCGCCAAATACACCCTTAACAAACAGTTAAGTTGAAAAAGGATTTTACAATAGTTTGAAGAGTAGGCCTCCTTTTTGATTTTAACTTGCAATATCTGTCAATTTATGCAACTTTTAAACTTCTGGCTCAGTTTTCCTTTGGTTCTGCTTTGAAAGAATAATAATAATTACTCAGAGACAATGCAGTGTAAAGAATTGTTGAGAAAAACTGCAAAACCTTACCAATTTAGACAAAAAAGGTACTTTAAAAACAAACTAAAACATTCAAAACGCTTTGATCACGTGACTGATGACGTCATGTCGCTCTTTTGGTCATAGAAAAAAATTATCAGGTAGAACATTACTTTCCCCTAAATGTTCTCTGCCGTGTGACAAAAGGTTTGCTCTCTACAGCCCTCGGCCTAGTCTCCCGAATATCTCGCTCATGGTAATCATCCCCCTTAAAAAATACCGGACGTCAACTGGTTATTTTTAGATGCCCCACACAACTATAACCTCAAATATGCCATTTGTTTTTAACTCGTTAATGAAATCACAGCAACACAAAAACCTAATTCGGAAATAGTCACGTGACTGATGACGTCATTACCTACCCTACATTGCCGATTACTAAGTAATAATTAAGTAAAGAATTTCAAACTGAACAGATCTTCGTTGTCGAGATTTAGGTATTTTTTTTAGGTATTTTTATTTATTTGCCACACAATTACATTACTTAAAGATGCCAAAAAAAAAAAAAAAAAATGTAGGAAGAGATGGCGAGGAGGCCTAAAAGAAACTATAGAGCTTATGTTAATTAGGCCTCCTCAATTACAATTTTTCGAAGATGGCATAAAAATTACGGCGACGGGTACAGTATAATATCAGGTGAAAAATTAAACTAATCAATATTACGGAAGTTTACATGTACAAATGTTGAATATTAAAAGGCTTTTTCCCAAGATTTTTGTTGAAGTATACTAATAATTATTACAAATAAATGCCTTAAGTGCTCTTTTAAAGGAGAAAGGTGAGGAAGCGTTGATGATGTTGGTGTTTAAGGTGTTGTAAAATTTAGGTCCTGAAATAGCTTTTTTGTTAAAACCTTGTTTCCATCCAATAGAGGAGGCTGGGTATGTCATGTTTCAGTTGTTTTTTGCGAACTTTGATGGATTTTCATATAATGCAGAATGCATATAAACGCCACTAACAAGTTTGATTTTTACTGCTTTAAAAATTTCACTATTCCTCCTGCGAAACATTTTGGATTTTGATTGGTTCTGTTGCGAGATGAGGTCTGGGACCGAGAAATGATGTTCTCACAACTTGCAAAGCGGGTCACCTTTCGTGGTGGTCAGCGGATAATTAAAGTAGTTTTTATAGTAGTTTTAGAAGCGAGAAGTGGAAAGTTAGACGGCCTATCGTTAAGTCAAAGTGAAAACAAGGGTTTGGGTGAGGTGCTTAGTCTCGCGGGCCCATAAAACTTCGTCTAGATCATTGTTATTTAACGATTTTCTCTCAAAACCGTTGATCTATGGTTTTTAACATAATGCGCATGATCAGGACACACATCCGCTGGCAAGACCCTTCCTGATAGCTTTGCAAGTTGTAAGAACATCGTTTGGATTTCTTTCAGAGGGATTTCGTTTAAGAGAATGTATGGGAATTAGCTCCCCACCCCCTCCCCTTCCTTGTGTTTTTGATGAAACCATAAAATTGGAGCACGTTGATAATCAGTCTTAAGAAGTTTGTCCAGTGGCATACAGCACTACACTCTTGAGAGGAAAAGAAAAAATAGTTGATGAAGATCATGCATCAAGTTTGTTGAAACATGTTGATGATTTACTAGATTGCATAGATTAAGATTAAGATTTTTTAACGTGTATTTGAATTGTTATCATGCAAAGTCATCGCTTAATGATCAAGACATCTTAAGCAAGAACAATATTCGTGTTCATGTACTTTGTGCCGGTATACATATGCTGGACCTTTAGTACCTGGCTTAACACAATGAAGTTCAACATCAACGGGTTTTTTCTTGATGGGACTACAACACTCGCATGATTTGGAATTGTACGTTTGTTCAGAACGACATGTTCCCGCGCATGTATTTAATTTCACATATCTGGTCTGGCAGCCAACAACTCTTACTGCAACTGTGGTAGTAAATAGCTTGCACACTTCCTTGTGTTTTCCAAAATATCTCACAGCTTTCAGTACGTGGCAGGCTGCTAAGACGAGATGCACTGCAATCGGGACGTGAAATGTCTTCATGCTTCTGTGAAAAAAACAAGAAGGCCAATTTTTAAACCCGTATTAGCGGTCACCAGGGCCTCAATAGTCAGACCGCTTAATACAGGTTGAAGAAGATTGGCGAGTGTCTACTTAATATTAGATGGCGACATCAGTTACCGTAAATCCTCTATTAAGCCCCCGCCCCCCCAAATAAGCCCCGTCCCTCTAATAAGACCTCCCCCTCCTTTTCAGGGGAAGAAAGTTAATAAGCCCCCCGTCTCTATTAAGCCCCCCGCCACCCTCCTCCCCTTTCATAATTATTCTTCACTAATAAACGATAGACTGTATTAATCAATCACGACTGTAAATCTTCGTATGGACTGTTCTGGAATGGTTTGTTTACCAACTGGAAGTTCGGATGTGATTCTGATCCTCGGCTTCATGACCTAAATCTTCTTGTATTTGACCTTTTCCACTCCATATTATACTTCTTTATGGAGAACTGATACCGTCGTGCTTTCTACATTAAATAAGCCCCCCGTCTCTATTAAGCGCCACCTTCAAATGGGCTTGAATGAATAAGCCCCGGGGGGGCTTAATGGGGGATTTACGGTAGTCTGCCTGGTAGACGTCAAAGGCGATAAGGGATCGGGAGGAAGGGAAAAAGCGAGGGGCATTAGGGAGAAATCATGTAAATCGGATTCTGCGATTCCCGCCAAGCTGTAGATCGATTTTGTTAATTAGACTCGACTCAGTTCCATGCAACTCTAAGAAAAGCAGTTCAAAAAAAAAAGGAACGCCTCAGAGTCTGTTTCACGAGCAGCACATCAGTGCAAACTTTAGGTGTTGCTCAAGAATTAATGTGTCGAACAGCTAGCCTCGTGCGACCAAATATAAGGGACCCCAACAAATGGTTATTACGTTGTGGAGAGGTTAGCCGATTCGGTCTGTTTTCCGGTTAGGTTTAACGAACAATCAAGGAAATCAATACATGTACTCGACAATCTTTTAGACATAAAAGTTACCGTGTAAACGTAACTGTAGCCCAGGACTGGCCTCCAAGACTTACTTACGAAACCCGTTTT